TAGAGACAGATTGAAATCTCAATTTTGGAATGAGTATGTGTATTTAGTGGCGTGTTTCTATGGCCCAAAAACTCTTTTTTTTTGTCATTTTATGTTTTCTTCTTCTTCTTTATTTTGTCTTGCCTCGTCCTGCGTCATTGAAACAATAACATACAATGTTAAAGATTCGGTTTTGCTAGTTGTTCGTATCAACACCTGTTTTATATATATTATATTTAGCATTTATATCGAAATAATTTGAAAAATATATATGAGAATTTTTTAACAACAATGTAGAGGTCGGTAAGAGTGTCTGCAATAAAGAAGCAATGGAATGCAAAACTAGTCGCAATCGAGTGAATGGAAAGTCGGCAATTGTTAGCAACAGAAGCAGTAGTCAAATAAACGGTTGCATAACAGCCACCAAGTAAGGGTAGAAGGGGAGGACGACACCAAAACAAATCCCAACCGAACAATGATTTTTTTTTTTTTTTTGAAGACCCTATCAGAAGTTTTCAAACTATATGAAACCTATCCGAGTTGTTCTTTCTAATCAAGAATGAGAGAAATTCTATCTGTATTGGACATATTAGAGATATACGGCATAGAAATGCAGTCTGAGGCATTCTATCTATAATATAAGTATCAGAAATTGTCTGAACAAATTCCTGTAAAAGGGATGATAGAAATATACAGGGAATAAATATTGAATATATTTTCTCTGAAAACATATAAAAGAATTTCTATCTCAAAAGTTCTATCAAAGCCCTTCTATCTGCAGAAGAAATATCAAAAGCCCCAGCTGAGGTCTTTTACCTATGGCAGAACCATCAAAGCACTTCGGTCTATAGAAGACCTATCTATAGAAGATCTATACAAGAACTATATGAAACCTATCAGAGGTCTTCTATCTAATGAAGAGCTTTCAGATAAATTCTATATGTAAGGACCTATTCGAGATACATGCAGTCAGATTTATTCTATCTGTAAAAAATCCTGAATAATCCCTGTAAAAAAAGGTAGAAATATACATGGAATACGTTTAGAACATATTTTATCTGCTAAATATCTTCAAAATATTTTCAAATAACACATCAGAAGGTCTAAACAAAATTTCCCATTCATATATTACATACAGAAGTATTTTATCTATAGAAGACCTGTATAAGATCATTTATCTATAGAAGTAAGACCTGTAGTAGAAAATATATTTAACCATAGTAAGAGGTCTACTGTCCTCTGACTATTCCATTGAAAAATTGAACACCTGTCAGTAAAAAAAGATTTGTTCTCTTGGATCCCGCTTAATCTAATAATCGTTCAAAATAGGGATGAAAATAAATTGTGAGAAAATAAGATCATGTTTTTACTGAAGGCGTGGATCTATTCTCATGTGCCCTAAATAAAACAGCAATAATCCGTGTACATCGAAAACAAGCCAAATTCAATAAAGGGTTTTCGTGGAGGGAGCACTCCAATGCAAATGGTAGCTTTTTTCTATGACAAAAGTGGTTATGTTGCGACTGTTTCGTTTGAGTAACCAAATTCTGAGTGGTACACCACAATTTTTGTCTGATAGCTCATTATGCCCACATACATCGGCTGAAACCAGTGCCTTTTTGACAGGACAGATCGTGAAATTTATAGGACAGCCGCCAGACATTTCGTCGCCAGAAGCGTTCAAAAACACGTTTTGATGGTAGCTCAATCTGAGTGGTTAGATCGAATGAAAATATGTAGAACTCATGATGGGAAAATAATTTGAATGAAAAACTATGCAACCATTTCCAATAATAAATATTCGCAAAATAATTCTTAGGATAGAAATATGTAGTTGCCTCGAAGAAGACCAATCGGAGATATAAAAAGATATTCGGCATCTAGATAACATAGATCTAGTCCCAGACCTACACAATTTTATAGGCTATATATTACCTTTATAAACGCAGTAGCCAGTTGTGATATTCTGCATTCCAAATACTTTTTATAAATCTTCCTAAAATAGAAGACCTTAAATTGGCATTTTTGAAAATTAATCTATTTAATCTATATTATACATAATAATGGACTATGTATAACTTATATATTAAAGATATTTTATATGTAGAGAGCATATGTATTGTATTCTATATACAGACATATCTTCCACCAGTAGACATCTTTTATAAAATCTAAAGAAATTTACTTGTTGAACAAAACTGGTCTGCTAGTTCTTTTTCTACGGATTAAAAATAAAACAAATAAAAACTGTGTTCAACCTTATTTCATTTTAAATTGTGTCCTACGATTAAAGTCCAATAGAAAATTTAAAAATTCCCTCTTCTTGCATTTTGTACAATATTTTCTCCTAATATCCTTCAATGTACTTTACAATGCCAACTTACTTTCACATATGCTACATTATCCTTTATTCCAAAATGTTTGGCATTAAAAACTTTGTTGTTTTTATTATTTTAATCAATAAAAAAATCTGTACAGCCACTTTTTGGCTGGCGAACGTAAATCGGGCTTTTTGTCTTGCTTTTGCTTGCCATTGCACACAGTTGTGGCAGTAATAAAGAGGTATTTTCTCATTCATGCTATTGGCAACACTTGACGGTATGCACCAGTTATTTTGTTTGCTGCAAAGCAACAAAATAACATACACATACAGATGTTACATATATACAAATAATATGAAATAAACTGACATTAAACATTTTTTTTATATGGGAAGAGGTGGAGGTGTAGATTTACGTTAGCAACTTAAATTTTTATTTTGTTCGAATTATTTTAATGCTACTGAAGTTATAAAACGTTGAGGAAAACAATTGTGGAGTGTTGTCGACTATATGGCTCACTTACACTTCTAAAGAAGTCGATTCTAACCGTTAGAGATGTATGATCCTTCGAAAAAAAATTGGGTCGTTGAGAAGTACATTGTCTGGTCGCAATATAGATATTAATGGAAACATTCGAGCTGTTTAAACAAATAGTCTTAAATGTTGAAGAAAATCCAGTTCTCCATTCATAATAGTGTTTTTGGAACTGGGAACTACACAAAACTTTATCAAACCGTATTTTGCCTAAAGTCTTGTTTCTTAAGGCTATAAAATTCAGATAACACAAGAACAAACCCACCCGATCATCAACAGCGTGGTATCTTTGTTGATCGGGTAATTGAAATGCATGAAAATGATCCAGCAAGGCTTATAAAGAGTTATCCATATATAAAATATATTTGTTATACCCTTGTTGTCAGTGTATTATAGTTTTGTATGGTCCCAAGAGTTTGAAACGCGACAAAATATTGGCACTTGACCCGCTTTTTAGTATACCGACTAGTTGAGTCAATTTAGACATGTGTAGACGGACACACATGTCTAGATCGATCCATTATAATTTGTAAACACGATGCAGGCCACAGTTATAGACCTATTATAAGCAAATTTTACATGTAATACGGACCAAAAACTTTATTTTGATCTGCTTTTCTGGTCGCTCAAGAGGCTACAATTATAACCCAAACACCACGAAATCTTACAATCATGACTGGTTTGATGAACATCGGTAAATATATAGCGGGTCAAATGGACCCAGACTTTTGAATGAAAAATTACAATATTCGTATTCTATGGCGTATATATGTAGTCCTGAAGGAAATAGACTAGAGAAGTTGACAGTATATCCAAGAAGAATGGCTGACCGTCAATTATATTGATGTATGTACTCGGATAGGGGAGTTATACGCAGGGATGGTCTGTGTGACGAATTTTTAGGGTTTCGACTGTCAAAAAGATGTAAAAGTCGAAAACGTCATATACCTGTAGAAAATGTACAAATTGTAGTAAACGTCATTTATTTCAATATTATCACAATATACATTTATTTTCAAGAATATATATTATTTTTACATATATCTGACTATTCCTTACTAGAACTGATAAAAAATTCGACTTTTTTTTGGGAAGAAAATTTAAAATTTTAATATGGATTTGAATAATGCATACGTAATTTCCAAACGATTAATGAAAATAGATATTTTGTCAAAAACCTAATGTTTTTGGGTCGATTTCCGACGTTTCGGACGTATGTATTATACGTCGGAAATGTATGTCATTTACGTCACTGTTTCTGACCGACCATCTCTGGTTATACGTAAATATTTAAGGAGTATAGGTATTATGAGATACTAAAGTATTACCATAACCACATTAGAGGGCGGAAATGTAGCGCTAATGCATGAGGTTCTGATTATGGTCAAAGAAGGCGCATATAATTTTCGATAATTTAAAATCGCATGATCTTGGTGGCCAGTTGATAATGCCACGAATAGAAAATACGCGGCCAGGAAATATATCTTCCAATAAAAATATATTCGCTCGAGTTGTCGGTTATCATTCCATAATGCTCTGAATTGACGATGACAGCCGTTCCATCGTCTTCGAAGAAGGAAGGTCCAATCACACCTTCGAACCAAAGAATGCTCCAAACAGTAAGCTTTTCTGAATGCAATGACCTCTCTTCAATTACTTGAAGATTCTCCGAACCCCAAATACGACATTTTTTATTAAGAAATGTACTTCATCCCTGAAGAAAATGTTGTTCGGTCCACCGCCTGTTATTCATGCACCAATTCCACGTATGTACGACGTTGTGAATGGTCAGCGGGTTTCAGTTTTTGCTTGAGCGGGACTTTATATGGACATATGTGTAGATCTAAATGCAAAATACGCTATAATATGCCGTTAGACTGGCATAATTCCTGACAACGGCGAGAAATCGATACATTCGGGTCTTTCACTTACAGCATCGATATTTTCAACCGAACGAGCGAAACGATGAGACACAGCCTCACAATTATTATATTTTCCAGGATTTGAATTTAAAATATCTACATTTTATTTTAGATTGTAGGGCATCGGTGAACTATGAAGAGAAAATTTGTTACTGAATAAAGGAACTAACAAATAGTACATAAACATTTCTATATACTCAACAGTGTATGTGTGCATGTTTTATCAAAAGACTAATTTATCAACATGTGTTACAGTTCCCAAGGCTCTGGGGCGAACGTGAGTGTTTTTTTTTTTCAATCACAAAACGTACATTGAACGATGTTCTCGGTCTAAACTCCATTCAGCGGAAAAGTCATTTTGTAATTCAACAAAAGAAAAACCCCACCGATGAAAATCAAGAAATCTACCAAAAACCGTTTTCCTCCTCACATACTACCTGGAAATGTGAATTCGAACATCTTCAAGGTATAGCAAAATAGCATCGAGTCAGTTATCGTGTCTTTTACGAAAAGAAAATTTATTTCTGTCGTTTTCTCTACGTCCATTCGTCGATCGGTCGGTTGTTTGGTTGGGGGAAAAAGGTTTCCACACCGCGACCCATTGTACAATGGAAATGAACTTATGGTAGAGAAATTACCACATAATTTCATGATGTGAGTTGATAGAGATGATACAGGTTGCTGGCTCGGGTTGTTTGGTTGGCGGTTGCAACTGCGAGTACTATGTAGCAATTTTGCGGCGCTGACTGCTACCTTCGATGGATGGTTGGTTGATTATCAACGACAACAACAGTAGGAAGACACCAAATGTATGCCAATACGATGCCTCAACCACATCTACCGCAACACCAACTCCCCACCAACCCAAAAGCTGTGATGTTAATGATGCCGATAATGTTGACTACGACAAAAATATGCGATGCTATATTCTACAGCACAATTTTCAGGAAGTGATCAGTAAATTAAGATGTAAATGATTTTTTGCTTTTAGTAAATTGAAATGCTACAAAATTTCATTTTTGTACCCTACAGTACAATGGCATTTGTACTTTGGGTCCATAGTTACTTTTTATAAACTACTTATTTTATTTTCTGAGCCTATTAATTGCACTTGTGCAGGTGTAGAAATTTCTCCAATTTAATTTTATTTTATATGAGAGGTGTGTCAATATATGGACATATTATGATAATTTTCGCGAAAATGTATCTCTGCTTTCAAATAACAGCGTTTTCGGCTAAAATCCTCAAAATATTGAAAATTTCGCAGGGTGCTGTATCAAAACATGGACAGCTTCCAATGCATTGCAATGGTTGAAAAATATGGGTAAAACCTTGAAAATATCGAAAATTGGTCAGAACCATTTTATGGGGGCTATGTCAAGCATGGTCCTGAAATTATAATTTCAGCATATCAACATCCAAAAAACATTATGCCAAAAGCATATCCCTTTCGGTTGGAAAATGCGTCTAAAGCCCTTAAAATGCCGAACATTGAACGGGGCTATGTCAAATATGCTATGACCAATAATGATGATTTCAGGGTAGAGGTATGATAGCCTCTAAATCCCCGAAATACCAAATTAGAGCCTTTCCGGTAGGATATGCGAACAAAACCCTAAAAATATCGAAAATTGGGCAGGTCCTTTTTATGGGGGCTATATCAAGGCCTGAACTTTTTCATGGGTGCTATGCCAAAACCTTAAACTACAATGATAATTTTCTGACATCCAAAAACACAGTACGTTATATTATTTATCTTTCGGATGGAAAATTCACATTATTCAGCTTCGAAACTCCCGATATGCATAGTTAGAGCCTTTCCTGTTGGAAAATGCGACTAAACCCTTTAAAACCCAGCGTTTACCATCTGATTGACGTGCAAAGAGAAACGAAGGAGTTTATTGAAAATGACTCCAATTAGTTTTTTTGTTTGTTTTTTTTTTTTTTTTTTTTGATTATGTGCGGCGGATTTACGCCTACATTCGACAGAAATATTAAGTGCTGAATTGACTTCTCATGATCGTAATGTGTCATACCCTAAGATTGTAAATATTAAAAAGGTTTGTTCTTGTTGGGTCCGGCACAATTTGACAACCACTTCAAAGAGCTTGGGTTTATTGGAAATTTTGCAAAAAATATTTATGGGATTGTAAAAGTAGACGTATCGTGGATCGATCTATATGATCATGAATGTACCGTGTGGTTTTTCGAAGGCGAGTCAACTTCCGTGAATGTTGCTCATGGAAGAACCACTTGGAAGCAAACGGTCGCCTGTTTTTTTCAGCAAAGCAGATCATTTAGCGACTGAGCTACGGATGAGGTCAATTCTGAGTGGAAGACGTCAATTTCTTTGGCCGAAATTGTGAAATTAAAAAAAAAAACGAAAAAGAGAAGGTGAATCATTGTGCACCACGACAATGCGAACAATCACACATTGGTTACAACCTGAGTCTTTTTTACCGGATAAAACGTGGAATTGATGGGTCTTGCGCTGCACAGGCCTGAGGGCGACGAAAATATTTGATGTGCGGTAATAAATGGACGCCATTGGGCGTTCAAAGCGTTCAAAAAAATAGAAAAACATGCTTTGAAGGTGTGTCAATCGGAGTGGAAAAATTGCTGCGGCAATTGGACATTGAATTTTTGTGAAGAGATTTATTGTGGGGTTTTAGGAGTTGGAATTACAGATTTTGGTGTAGTGTTGTTGGCGATGGTAACGAAATTTCCTTTACAATAATAACCAAGGAACCACTTGGTTGAACCATTTCAGAGGAGCATATAGTTTCCATTACTCAGACATTCATAGTACGTTTAGAAATCGAGTAAACATATTTCACTTTGTAAATAGTCTTTGAGATCAATTGTCACCCTCAGAAGAACATTTTTATTCTTCCGGATTGAAATAAAGATTGCCGCGGCAATAGAAGCCAATGGTAATTGTGTTCATTGTTGTGTTTAAATATTCGCATTTGGCTATAAAGTCAGAAATAAAGGTTATTCATTTCGTCGTCGATACCTGGAATGTGTGTACAAAAAACAACGATTTATCGAATAAATTTTTCTTAAGCGATGAATCACTTTTCTTACTAATAAATAAAATTGTAATATGTGTCAAAAGTGGATCGAAAGTTACCACAAAAAATCAATGCTTGCAACATTTCGCGTGGAGTTTATAAATGGCGTAGTTTTTCACACATAATGACAACGTTCAAACTTTATAATAAATCCAGTGATCGGCGAAGTATAGTCGGACGATGCCGACCCTATGCAAGTTTCTGATGATCTATATTCCGAGATTGGATAATATTTCGCGATATTTTCACTCTCTTCACCGATTAGAGGTCAACAGCTCCTCTGCGACATCCTTTCAGAATCATGTTTTCCCGGAATTTTTTTAATGATCGGTTTAAAATTGTGGCGCCTAGAGCGACTAGAAAACATGACAAAAATAAAGTTTTTCTTCCATTTCATCCCCGAAATAGCATCGAAAATTATAGGCGTCGTTCTTGGCCATAACCGAAACCTCACGCAAAAATTCCCATCCATCAACGCTACATTTCCGCCCTCTAGTGTGGTAATGGTAATACCAAAAAATATCAAAATACGTAGTACAAATGAAAAATTTCGCTGTTGCAAACATAAATTTACTGTGAAAAAAATTCATGCCGGGGGGGACCGGGCCCCCGGGCCGCCACCCTGCGTACGTCCCTGCTTCAGATCCATACTACAGCACAGGTAGTATCAGCGTCTTGTAGAGTGTGAGTATGGTCTGGCGAGTGGTGGCCTTTTTCTGAATTGCTTACTTAGACTGATGCCAACACTATTCTCCTTCGAATTTCAAAACTGATGTTATTAGTTTTATTTATGGCGGTACCAAGATATATAAAATCTTTGACTACCTCGAAGCTGTAGTTCTCAAGTTCCACAGTTGGTCTGAGTCTACTGGACGTCTTGCGCGTTGATACTATCAGCTTAGTCTTCTCACAATTTACTGCCAGACTCCTTCTCAATTAGTTCAAAGGTGGATGTTACCGCTCGCAATGTTCGACCCACTATATCGATGTCATCGGCATAGGCGAGTAACATGTGTTGTTTGGTGCAATAGGTCGTATAAGAAACGAATATTATCGGTCATTTTGGTAGAAAATCTGTTTACGTTTTCACACTATTAAGGGAACCCCACCCCCCCCCCCCCCCATTCTCGATTTTTTATTTTTAAGATTTTAAATGGGCTGGTAAATGAATACCAATGCTTGTTAAGGTTTTAAACTTGGCACATATATATTTGAAGATTTAAAAAGGAAGAAAAATAATTTACCAAAATTTGTTGTTGTTGTTGTTGTTTTGTTGTTGTTCTTTGTGTTCAAAGAAAAGTCCATATTTTCGATGGCGGGCATGATAACTCCTCACTGGAACATCGAAATCCGAAAATTCCAACTGTGTTAGAAAGAGGACATGTCTGGCTCTCGTATGAACTAGGATTATTGACTTCGCACAACAATTAAAAAATTGGCGGAACTTTTTTATAGAAAATCGCCTATTTTTTACAACAAACTAAGTTAAAAAATAAGGAAGGTCTTCACCGATTGGCTTTATCCTAGTTCATACGAGAGCTACACACTCCCAGAGAAACGTGTCAAAATTTGAAACCGATTGGATTACTAGTTTTTGAGTTATCGTGCCCGCCATTCGTTTTGAGAAAAACGCGTTTACAGTTTGAAAAGCTCTTTAGCCGTCACTTGATGCTGACATAATGAAACGGCTATATCTTCAAGAGTTCTTGAGATTTTCACTTGAAATTTTGTAGGAACATTCTAGAATTAGAGTAGATTCGAATTAAATCCAAAAATTTTTTGACACCGAGAATGGGGGGGGTCCCCTTAAGTCAAATGTTGACAGTTCGGGTGAAATCATTTCGTCTCTAACATGACCTGCTAATTGTCATTTCTAATGGTCATTTCTGTTCACCTTTTCGAGCAGGATATTAAAGAGGTCACATGACAAACTGTCACCTTGTCTGAAACCTCGTTCGGTATTAATAGGGCTCCGATAGGTCCTTTTCGACTTTAACTACTGACCTTGTGCCAGTTAAAGTTATCCTGCATTGCCGTATTCATTTTGCGGGAATGCTGAACCCAGACATGGTTTTAAACACCTCTGAACGGTACGAATATGTGTCGATGTGTTTTTCGTGTTTTTTTTTCAGGAGTTAAAATCTGGTCAATGGTGGATTTGCCATTTCTGAAGCCACATTGGTATGGTCCAATAATGTAATTGACCATTGACTTCAGTCGCTCACACAGTACGCTTGATAGCACTTTATATGCGATGGGAACGAGACTGATTCCTCTATAGTTGGCACATATCGTCTTGTATCGTTTTTTGAGCACGGGACCCAGGATGCTGAAGTTCCAATCATTGGGCATGCATTCCTCTAGCCAAATTGTGCTAATCAGCTGGTGCATGCTCCTGACCAGCATCGGACCCCCAGTTTGCTTTATTATTCTTCAGCCGATTGATTGCTATTCTGGCCTCATCTTGGCTAGGTGGTATACACTCTATATCGTCATCTCTTAATGACTATTTGATACCAGAAGCTTTTCAAAATGTTCCTTCCAGATCCTTAACACGCTGTCTGTTACCAGGTTTCTTTCTTCATCTCTACAGGAGGATGTTCCTGCACTAAAGCCTTCGGTTTGGTGTTTTACTCGTTGGTAGAACTTCCGGACTTCGTTCTGACTCCTGTACATTTCGATTTGCATCCGCTCACGTTTTCTTGTTCTTTCTGAAAATACGTTTCTCCTCTCTCCTGTTCTCCCGATAATTCTCCGTCGCATTTCTGCTGTCTGCAGAGTTTCCCTATACGCTGCGTTTTTCAATGTTGTTTAGGGTATAAAAAGATATATATTTCATATATGTATGTATATGCCTTTTATTTGCTGTTATTTTTAAAAGTATTTTATATACAATTTATATATAGTAGCCCTAAAACCCATTTCTCCTCATAATAGAATTTTAGATAACAAAATATTGTGGTCGTCTTGTAAAAACCATATATTCGACGACAGTCCATATATAGCCTTTGCATAATATTTTTAATCTATCTATATATGTATATAAAAATGAATTGCTGTTCGTTAGTCTCGCTAAAACTTGAGAACGGCTGAACGGAATTATCTGATCTTAGTCATGAAATGTTCGTGGAGGTCCAGGGAAGGTTTAAAAGGTGAGAAAATAGCGAATAAATACCGCGAAACCTCTAAAAACAGGCTTTTATATTTTCCATACAAATGTTTTCTAAATAAAATGTTGAGTCATAAAGACAATTTGCATTTTGTGTCAAATTATTTTTTTAGGTTTAATAAATTTTAAGTTTCTAAAAGCAAACATAATATTCGATAACCAACTAATATTTCAATCATTTTGTAAGTACTTCAGAACACGGATATTTATGGCTTAAAGGTTTTAGTTATGATAATCTATGAGTGCATACTTCCAACTTTGTGAGAGTTACCCTCTATTTTTCAGTAAGTGCGAAATTACCTCACTCTATTAATTAATTTAAGATGCCGAGGTGAGGACGACCTGACTCATTCATATATGCGAAGAGAAACCTCACGTGCCAACTGCACTGATGATCAGAGAGAGACAGATCAAGAAAATGTTCGTATTGCTATGGCAAAAATGGGTTTTTTAGTGAGTCACAATGAAGTAAATAGGCTAAGAATGCAACGAGTTCATGCATATCAAACTCAATAAAAATTGGATTATGTTGTCCTGGAGGAAAAGTGAGATTGCCACAATTAGTCCTACCTCCAGATCCATTACGCTCATTAGTTTATGGGATTGAAATTGATTTTATGCACGTCTTAGTCAATATTCAGTAATATAACAACTGTTTCCAGATGACGTCATTTGGCGCTACACATATTATACAGGAAAATTTCATGTCCACGCTCAAGGTATAAAACCTAAAAAAAATATTTTTTTTAATATTCCAGTTTCTACTAAAATAAACATCGGAAGTAAATTTATCTTATCTTAGTCTTGAAATGTCCGTGGAGGTCTAGGAAAGGTTTAAAATGTGAAACAAATAGAAAACAAATGAAAATAGTATGAAGCATATTTTCACAAAATATTATGAAGCATATTTGAATTTCCACGAATTTAGTATCGAGCTATTTTGATTGCACCACGTCGTAGTTGTTATTTTGAGATAATTTGGGCCAGAATTGGTAGCGTATTATTACTTTAAATCATCATTTGTCAATTATTGAAAATTGTATTGAAACTTTTTTGTGCGAATGCAAAAAAGTAATTGAGAAGTATATCATTGAATGTACACGCGATCATTATGTGTACACATTTTCCCTAAAGTGCACGTACATTTTGGGACAAATGCAAGAATTGAAATGAGAAAACATTTGGAATAGAACTCTGATTCTAAGATACATGCCCTAGGTTATTTGTCTTAAAAATAATAATAATAGTTCCATAGGAACATTAGAAAACCGGCGTAACAACTTTAACATACCGAAAAGGAAACGGAAAATATGTATGGCGCCTTTTTATATATTATGTCAATTCCATGAGAATATTCGGTCAAAGTCTTTACAATACCGAAAATGGGGCGGGACCTGTATGTAGGAGCTTTATCAAAAGGTCCTAAATAGAAATGTTTCCTCAAAAATGTGTTTTGATAATCTAAAATGAAACATTACAGCCACTTTGGTTGTAACACTGGACCAAACTGCCCAAAATACAAATATTGTGGGTACCGTTATATGGGAGCTACCGCAAAGAGTCAACCAATATTGACAATTTCAGAAGGATTCATTTTACCAAATAAAACAACCAAATACCAAATTAGAGACGTTTATATTAAAAAACGTGCTCCAATCCCCCACATCATCCAAAAAGGGGATATTTGGAAGCGTGGGCGAATATGAAACTACACCAAATACCGAATATTAAGGTATACCGTTATATGGGACCTATATGTATACTTAAATCAACATTGAAAATTTTAATTAGGGACATTTTCTGCTCAATAAGTATCCCTAATATTAAATTAGAAGCAATTCCGTTGAATATTGGGGGTATCGTTATATGGGGGCTACCCTAAAATTGAACCAAAATTTTAACATTTTCAATACCAAACATCTCATGAGTATTAGAAATGTATGAGCAAAGTTCTATCTAAAACCGTGGATGGAGCACCAAACCTCTATCATATTGTTACTTTATGTGTGCTTTGACAAATACCAAGGTATAACAAAAATCTATACACTCCGTCTTATGGTGGAAGGTATAAAAACAATCCTAAAATGCCGAAAATTATACACCAATAATATTGCTAGGCAAGACAAAGTTTGCCGGGCCCGCTAGTTTTATATAAATTCTTTGCCTTTCCAATGACTATTATTTAACCTATTTCCTATTTCCCCCTCTATTTGCAGCATTGCAATTTCTATGATGTCTATAATGACGACGATATACAATTTGAATATCACGACATGAAAATAAATCGGCAACAACAACAAACATCATCACAACTGATGTTGATACCAACAATAATGACAACAAATGCAAACAATCATCAACAGCAGCAACACACGCAGCAGCAACATCCACATCAACAACAACTTCCCTATGATGTTGTTCATGACAATGCCACAAATGTGGAAGCTGTTATTCTGCAGAATCAAGTGGATACCTTGCATTGGCAATTAAAACAGGTATGTACAAGATTGAAAAATTATGATCGAAGTAAAATAATAAACAAGAAGAACAACAACAACATCCATGTTGTTGGCTACTGTTTGTGTGTGTGTGGTGATCTCAATTGAGTGTTACCAAGTTACTACTGAAAAGAAATCAAAAAACAAAAGACTTAAGACACAAACCTGACTAAGATTACAACTGGATTGGCGCTTGGTGGTTGATTGTTGGGTTTTATTGTGTGTTCGCCAGCGAGGTTGACATGCTTTAGCCAGCTTTAGAATTTTATTTATGTTAGAATGATACCAGTTTCCATGGATTTTTTTTTTCTCTCTGCTGTTCTTTTGGTGCCATACATCCATGTTTGTTGCATTGTTTTAATATTTATAGTATCTCGCGTTGTGGTTGTTGTTATTTTTATTTCTCAAACACGGATATAATTAGTACACCAGCCACACTATATCAACACAACGCGCTGTATGTCGCATACATACTTACATATGTGTGAAGTGTTTTTTGGTTTCTTCGTTCTGCTTTTTTTTATAAGAAAGCCAAGTTATGTGTTCTCATATCATGTTCTGCATATTTTTCTCACGACTAATCTGTCATTAATTATGGGTTCTGGTTTGTCGTAGATCTTTTTTACCCTGCTTCTTATTTTTCCTCTTCTTTGTGGCGTTTTACATTTCATCGGTATTATTACAAGAAATATAGGTTTCTTTCGTCGGCTTTAAACATTCAACTTTGGCAAAGTAATTACCTCTTGTTTTTCTGGGTCTAATTTAGACCAGCTTTACTTAATACTTTGTTACGCAGAATGTGTTAGTTTTTTTGTTTAGTTTCCAGTGCAATTTCGTGTTTATTTCTAATTAATTTTTTGTAGGCCAAAAACTACCTTTATTATGTTTGTGTATTCTAGGTTACGTTAATAACAGTAGACCACTAAACTTTGACCTTAACCGGTAATATGAAAATAATTGGCAATTCTTATCACAAGGAAGTTATTACAGTTTCACACATTATTAGGTATTACTATGGCCTAAAATAACATAAAAAAATAATTACAAATTATTTCGCTTATTGAAAAAACAAAAGGTTCAACCGGACTGAAATATGTATAAATACCATAATAAAAGACGTCTTAAAAATAGCAAAAATTTTTGGCCAACAACAAGGTTTATTTATAAGGTTACCAATAAGTCTTCATTGTCTGACAAAATGTATTGTTTAGAATAAATAAGTAAAAATATTTTTGTTCTAAAGAAGAAATCGTTTGTAACATATAACTACGATATTTAGAGTTTTGATCCTGTTCTATTAAGGGGACCCCCCCCCATTCTCGGGGTCAAAAATTTTGTTGATATAATTCGAATGTACACTAATTAAAGAATGTCCCTACAAAATTTCAAATGAACATCTCAAGAAGTTTGAAGATATAGCCGATTTATTGTGTCAGCATCAAGTGACGGCTGAAGGGCTTCTCAAACTTTAAACGCGTTTTTCTCTAAACATTTTTTTGCGAATGGCGGGCACGATAACTCAAAAACTAATAACCCAATCGACTTCAAATTTTTACACGTTTCTCTGTGAGTGTGTAGCTATCGTATGAACTAGGAAAAAGCCAATCGGTGAAGATCTTCCTTAATTTTTGACTTGGGTTTTGGTAAAAAATCGGCGATTTTCCAAAAATATTTTTTTAAAGGTCCACCATTTTGTTAATTTTAGAGCGAAGTCAATAATCCTAGTTCATACGAGAGCCAGACATGTACTCTTTCTAACACCGTTGGAATTTTCGGATTCCGATGTTCCGCCATCGAAAATAAGGACTTTTCTTTAATTACAAAAAACAACAACAAAACAATAACAAAATTTTTTTGTAAATTATTTTTCTTCTCTTTTAAATCTTCAATTATATATGTGTAAAGTTACAAACCTTAACAAGCATTGGTATTGATTTACCAGCCCATTGAAAATATTGAAAAATTAAAATCGAGAATGGGGGGGGGTTCCCTTAAGTACTTCTCGATTAAAAATTTCATAAGTTCATGGCAGAACGATTTTTATCCTCTGAGAGTACGAAATTTCATATTCAAATTTCCAAAATTTAAAATTTGTTGCCAAGGTGTTTTTAGGAACCATGAACATACCTAGAATGGGGCGGATCCGCTATATTGTGGATACATTAAACATCGAGCCCAAACTTAAAGTTTCCTGTGAAAAAGATTTTTACACACCAAGAACAGGGTATGGCTAAGTACATTGAGGAGGTTTAATCAAAATATGAACCTTTACCGAAATGCCAAATATTTTCATTGTATTGTGAACCACTATTTTTTGCATTATTTTCCAACAAATATTCCTTAAAAAACATTCTTCTTTTTAAAAAACATATATATTTTTTAAAAACTCAGCACAATATTTTAATAAAAAATAAGTAAGGAAAGTAGTAAAATCGGACTAGGCCGACCTTATAATTCCTTTCGCCACTTTGGGTATGTTGTACATATGTATCCTAACAATTTCATGTTTCAATGGGACAAACTTAAAGTAATCGATTTATAGCAAACTTGATGCACGCTATCCGGTATGCCGCGCTGTAAAACATTTAATCTCAATCAGACACCCGTTTGAAATATTATGGAAGCTATGTCTACATCTGCACCAATTTCAACAAAACACAAAACGTCTTTCAAGTCTCATCATTTCAAAATTTTGTGTCTATCGGACAAACATTATTTACCTAAAATCGGACGAAAATATATATATTTCGGAACTATATCTATATAAATATATTATATATGGGAGCTTTATCTAAATCTGAACCGATTTTCTCGAAACATAACACACATAATTCTATAGTTAATTCAAAGCACCATGCCATGATGCTTAACACACACAATTCGAAAGATATATTGGGGCTTTGGTGCACAATTCGCCATGCCAAATTTCGTGGAAATCGGAAGATATATAGGGACTTTGGTTCACATTCGCCAAATTTCATCCAATTCGGATCATAAATGCGAACTGTACTTTGTTTAATATTTAACATGGTCAGATAAACTGACGGACGGACATGCATAAGTCGTTTCAGAAATTGATCAAAAGGAACCATGTATCTATCTCGTTTCCTTTTGCCTGTGTTTGTCATATATGCAATGGAATTGGCAATTTAGATCTATTACCAATGTATTATTTTTTATTATTTACAGAAAACTCTTTAAAAATCCACACATTATTTTTTTTAATATTCTTTAAAATATCAACGCATTATCTTTTCCAAAAATATACATAAAATCGACGCCTTGTTTTTCAAAAAAAAATATTATATTAAAAATCGAAGCCTTTTTTTGAAAAATTGTACTAAGACCTCAAAATGTTAAAAATTGGGGCTATTGTTTTATGGGGCTATACCAAAACCAGGACAAATATTGATCGTATTTGACACCGAAGTAAGAACCCAAAATATCAAATTAGAGAAAATTCCGTCGAAAAAACATACCAAAATTATTTGGGTATATACTTATGATATTTTCAACATATTTATGGGTGGAAGATTTTCTACCCAAGAATCATTTTGGAAAATATCGAGTAAGTAGACAGTAAGATATCTCTAATTATTATTTTCGACTACTTGTTCTACATAGCTCTTTACCAGATTTACCATAAAAGTCTTTTCCCAGTGTTGAAAGCTGATCCATCTGCTTACGAAGACCACGACTCTTTTAAGTTCAATAATATCCTAGCTTTAATCAGCATCAAATTAGGTCTCTCCCAAGGGGAGACTATCTCATCCACTATCCTTTTCAGACCATGACTCTTTATGATGATGAAAAATGTATTAGCTGATTGTACATTTCCCATCATCATAAAGAGTCATGGTCTGAAAAAGATAGTGAATGAGATAGTCTCCCCTTAATATTGATTTTATTTTCTTCCTTTCCTTGAGTTTTCTGTGCACAAAAATTGTTCAATACAATTTTTGTTAACCAGCAATTTAATTATGTTAAGCCACGCAATAATGCGTCAGTAAAAAATGCTGGTCAATATCCATGACCACAATTATAATTAAAGCAAATTAATCAATATTGGCTGGCAATTGCTTGGTGTCGAATTAATTTGTTTATGTCGGCAAAAATGTAATGATTGTTTTTTTAGCGTTTATTTTCAATTTGTGGGTCAATTAATAATAATTATAATTATGAAAATAGATTAAGTGGAAAAATATAATTTCTGTGAAGTTGTTACAAATTTCCGAAAGCTAACAATTTTTAAGATTTAAATTTGAACAAATTAATTGAATATTCTAAAAAAGAAATCACTGTGTGGGCATCAATGGAATAATAAATCAGAGGCCTGCTATCCATTGTTAATTAGAGATTGTCATGCTATAGTTTATGATATTATTATAATTTATGTTATAAATATTTTTTTTTAATTTGTTAGCGACATTTACAGCCCACCCAAAATAAAAATCAATATAAGTCTCATTAATTATTCACGGCTGAAAATGGTAATTAAAATCACATTAATATATATATATATATATATTCTGCATGAGTCGACACAAAACAATATGACATAAATCCATAATTATTAAATTATGGTAAGGAAAATGACTGCGTGTAAAGCAGTTTTGTTGGTTGCTCTACTGAAAGTGGTTTAAGTACATTTTAGGTTCTGATACAAATCTCGGTTTTCTAGAAAAGTTTACAAAAATTATTTCGTTATATATTCTATAATGTTTAAGGATACAAAGCCTTAAACAAAATTAATACCACATAACAACATTTTTGAAACCTTTAAATATATCAATATAAGAAAAATGGACTTAAACCACTTTCAAAATAAACGACTCATATATACACCCGTAATACGCTAATATGTATCCAATTTGGTCCAATCGTTGGACTTGAAAATATTTTTACCAAAGCTAGACCCACAACTGTTAAAAACTGTACAAAGTAGCATAACATGTCAGGATAAATGCCCGTCGTCTTCTATTCCTAATCGTTCACCA